TGATGCATAGACCCTTGGAGATACATTTACCCTTGTTGATACAGACCCTGGGTGATAAATAGGCCCTTGGTGATACATATACAGTACACATGGTGATAGAAACCCTTGTTGACACACAGACCACTGGTTATTGACAGACACTTTATGATGCACATACACTTGGTAATACATAGACCCTTACTGATACATAGACTGTTGGTGATAGACACCATAAGTGGTAGAACACAGACCCTTAATGATACACATACCGTAATATTAGTTATACACAAGACCTTAGTGATAAAAACCCTGAGTGATACATAGAGTCATTGACCCTTGTTGATACTAAGACCCTTGACAGTCCCTCTGCGATGCACATACTCTTGGTGATATCAAATAAAACCTATGTAAATAAAAACTGTTGGTGATAAGCCCTTGCTGATAACGAGAAATGGGTGATCTGTATATGGATCCTGGTGATGGGTATATAGACCCTGGTGATGGGTATATAGACCCTGGTGATGGGTATACAAACCCTGGTGATAGAAAATATAGACCCTGTTGAAGGTATATAGACCCTGGGGATGGGTATATAGACCCGGGTGATAGATAATACAGACCCTGGTGATTGGTATACAGACCCGAGTGATTTGTATACAGACTCTGGTGATGGGTATTCAGTCACTGGTGATCGATAATATGGACCCTGGTGATGGGTATATAGACCCTGGTGATAGGTATTCAGACCCTGGTGATGGGTATACAAACCCTCGTGATGGGTATATAGACCCTGGTGATGGGTATGGAGACCCTAGTGATAGATAATATAGACCCTGATGATGGGTATACAGACCCTGGTGATGGGTATACAAACCCTCATGATTGGTATATAGACCCTGGTGATGGGAATACAGACCCTGGTGATAGATGATATAGACCCTGGTGATGGGTGTACAGACCCTGGTGATAGATAATATAGACCCTGGTGATGGGTGAAAAGACCCTGGTGATGGGTATATAATCCCTGGTGATAGATAATATGGACCCTTGTGATGTGAATATAGACGCTGGTGATGGGTATATGGCCTGGTAATGGGATTACAGACTCTGGTGATGGTAATATAAACCCTGGTGATAGATAATATGGACCCTAGTGATGGGTATACAGACCCTGGTGATGGGTATACAGACCTTGGTGATGGGTATACAAACCCTGGTGATAGGTATATAAACCCTGGTGATAGATATCATGGACCCTTGTGATAGGTATACAAACCCTGGTGATGGGTATACAGACCCTGGTGATGGGTATACAGACCCTGGTGATAGATATTAAAGACCCTGGTGATGGGTATATAGACCCTGGTGATGGGTATACAGACCCTGGTGATAGATAATACAGACCCTGGTGATGGGTATGTACCCTTTTGATGGGTATACAGACCCTGGTGATGGGTATGCAGACCCTAGTGATGGGTATACAGACCCTGGTGATAGATAATATAGAACTTGGTGATGGGTATATAGACCCTTGAAATGGGTATACAGACCCTGGTGATGGGTGAAAAGACCCTGGTGATGGGTATATATTTACCCTGGTGATAGATGATATGGACCCTTGTGATGTGAATATAGACCCTTTTGATGGGTATATAGACCCTGGTGATGGGTAATATAAACCCTGGTGATAGATAATATGAACCCTGGTAATGGGTATACAGACCCTTTTGATGGGTATACAAACCCTGGTGATGGGTATATAGACCCTGGTTATGGGTATAGAGATCCTGGTTATGGATATATAGACCCTGGTGATGGGTATACAGACCCTGGTAATGGGTACACAGACCCTGGTGATAGATAATATAGACCCTGGTGATGGGGTATATAGACCCTGATGATGGGTATACAGACCCTGGTGATAGATAATATGGGCCCTGGTGATGGGTATATGGACCCTGGAAATGGGTATACAGACCCTGGAGATGGGTATATAGACCCTGGTGATAGGTGTACAGACTCTGGTGATAGATAATACAGACCCTGGTGATGGGTATATAGACGCTGATGATGGGTGAACATACCCTGGTGATGGGATTACAGACTCTGGTGATGGTAATATAAACCCTGGTGATAGATAATATGGACCCTGGTGATGGGTATAGAGACCCTGGTGATGGGTATAGAGACCCTGGTGATGGGTATATAGACCCTGGTGATGGGTATACAAACCCTGGCACTGGGTATATAGACCCTGGTGATGGGTATATAAACCTTGGTGATAGATATTATAGACCTTGGTGATGGGTATACAGACCCAGGTGAAAGATAATACAGACCCTGTTGATGGGTATACAAACCCTGGTGATGGGTATACAGACCCTGGTGATAGATATAACAGACATTGGTGATGGGTATACAGACCCTGGTGATAGATAATACAGACCCTGGTGATGGGTATACAGACCCTGGTGATAGATAATACAGACCCTGGTGATGGGTAGATAGACCCTGGTGATGGGTATACAGACCCTGGTGATAGATAATACAGACCCTGGTGATGGGTATGTAGACCCTGGTGATGGGTATACAGACCCTGGTGATGGGTATGCAGACCCTAGTGATGGGTATACAGACCCTGGTGATAGATAATACAGACCCTGGTGATGGGTATATAGACCCTGGTGATAGATAATACAGACACTGGTGATGGGTATACAGACCCTGGTGATAGATAATACAGACCCTGTTGGTGGGTATGTAGACCCTGGTGATGGGTATACAGACCCTGGTGATGGGTATGCAGACCCTGGTGATGGTATACAGACCCTGGTGATAGATAATACAGACCCTGGTGATGGGTATATAGACCCTGGTGATAGATAATACAGACACTGGTGATGGGTATACAGACCCTGGTGATAGATAATACAGACCCTGTTGGTGGGTATGTAGACCCTGGTGATGGGTATACAGACCCTGGTGATGGGTATGCAGACCCTGGTGATGGGTATACAGACCCTGGTGATAGATAATACAGACCCTGGTGATGGGTATATAGACCCTGGTGATAGATTATACAGACCCTGGTGATGGGTATACAGACCCTGGTGATGGGTATATAGACCTTGGTGATGGGTATACAGACCCTGGTGATAGATGAAACAGACCCTGGTGATGGGTATACAAACCCTGGTGATGGGTATACAAACCCTGGCGATGGGTAAACAAACCCTGGTGATAGATAATACAGACCCTGGTGATGGGTTTACAAACCCTGGTGATGGGTATACAGACCCTGGTGATAGATAATACAGACCCTGGTGATGGGTATATAGACCCTGGTGATAGATAATACAGACCCTGGTGATGGGTATACAGACCCTGGTGAATGGTATATAGACCTTGGTGATGGGTATACAGACCCTGGTGATGGGTATACAGACCCTGGTGATGGGTATACAAACCCTGGTGATGGGTATACAGACCCTGGTGATAGATAATACAGACCCTGGTGATGGGTATACAAACCCTGGTGTTGGGTATACAAACCCTGGTGATGGGTATACAGACCCTGGTGATAGAGAATACAGACCCTGGTGATAGAGAATACAGACCCTGGTGATGGGTATACAAACCCTGGTGATGGGTATACAAACCCTGGTGATGGGTAAATAGACCCTGGTGATGGGTATACAGACCCTGGTGATGGGTATAATACCCTGGTAATGGGTATACAGACCCTGGTGATGGGTATACAGACCCTGGTGATAGATAATACAGACCCTGGTGATGGGTATACAGACCCTGGTGATGGGTATACAGATCCTGGTGATGGGTATATAGACCTTGGTGATGGGTATACAGACCCTGTTGATATATGATACAGACCCTGCTGATGGGTATATACAGACCTTGGTGAACAAATTACAGACCATGGTGATGGGAACACAAACCCTGGCAATAGATAAACAGAACTTGTTTATAACAGAAAAAGTAGGAATGAATGAATTAAAGAATGAATGAATGAATAAATTAATAATTAAATTCATTAATAAATTTTAAAAAAAAGAATAAAAAGGAATGAATATGATAAATTAATTATCTATTTATTAGTAAATCAATCATTTACTTAATTATTAGAAATAATAAATAGATTGATAAATAGATAAATAAATATATAAATAAATAAATAAGAAATAAATAAATAAATAAATAAATAAATAAATAAATAGATAAATAAACCAATAAATAAATAAATAAACAATCAAGCAAAATATGAAGTAAGTAACAAATAAACAAACAAATTAAAATCTAAATGAATTAACTCATAAATTATAGATTAATCAATAAATTTATTAATTAAATAATAGAATAATTAATAAATAATAGAAGAATTAATTACTCATTAGAATAATTAATTAATGAAGAAAAGAATGTATAAATAAATAAACAGACAAATAAATTTCCTGATGAATAAATAATTAAGTTACCTAGTTCATTGATTATTAGAATTAAATGAATTAATTAAACAAATAAAATAAATAAATGAATGAATAAAAGATTAAATAGATAAATAAATACTAATTGCAAAGTTGACTTATTAATTCTTTGGCTTTTTAAATAAAAATTTATTGAATATGCGTAAATTTCTGCATCTGAGAATAGCACTACTAAGTTTTCGTTATTTATTTCGAATTTCCTCTCTGCTGTTTTCCGAACTCGATGTAAATTTGTTGCGCGCATGCGCTCTGCCTGGTTATAGAGGCTGGTTACGAGATCCAAAAAAGTATTCATATTATACCTCCATTCGGATGCTGTAATTTAATGTATTCCCTAAATAAAGCTCCCTGAGATATGAAGATTTTCTTGTAAAGTATTATATTTATATAAACTTTAGGTCTGAATTCATAAAGAAGGAGAACATTTTGAGATAAATGAAAAATTGTATTTCCATACTTATCCGAATAAAATATTTTGAAATTCGGTAAGGAAGGTGTGTTGAAATCCGTCACGTGACAAAAATATGGCGGACGTTCCTAACACAAATCCGTTTCTTGATGACGAAGACGATGAAAATACGGTGGTTGCGGCTACAGAAGTGGTTAACACTGAATTGCAAGATGCAAAAACAAGTGAACATCATGAACTTTCATTAGATTCGCTTGCTGCAAGCCTTTTGAAGGAGAATTTTGTTTTGACAGCCCTTGAATTTCACACAGAACTCTTAGAGACCGGAAGAGAAATCCCACGACTTCGAGACTATTTTTCAAACCCTGGAAATTTTGAACGTACAAAAGACGAATTTGGGACTTCATCACTGCGTAATTATTTTGTTGTTTCTAGTTTTGAACAAGTCATTGAAAGTATCTGAATGTTTATCAGCTGTTTATGGCAAAGTTTTGGACCAGTTTTCTCAAAAGGGATAAAAATAACCAATTTTGATATATACAAATACTTGTAGTATTTTCTTTAGTTGGAGGCTCGTTTTAATACTCTCCCATCATCAACTTCTCACTAGTGAATAACAACACTAACAGTAAAGCACATTAAATGAGTGCTAGATTTATTTTCGCGTTGTTGATAAAATTGTCAACTCTTGTTTTTAAAATCTAAATGTTTAAATGTAAGGGACATGAATATTGTCTTAGAGAAATGTCAAATAATAAAGTTTAGTTTATGTTATGCCCCCAGCAACTTTCTCCCCGTGTGGTAAAACATGGTTCATTATCAAGTTGTACAGCAAAAATAATCATATTGATCTAATGCCTACAAAAAGTTTTCTGTAGTTTCAAATATATTATATGCTTACATATGAAATTTACAAGGGTCATTCAAAAACTAAGTAGGCAAAGTGAATTTTGTATCATTTTTAGCTCACCTGAGCCGAAGGCTCAAGTGAGCTTTTCTGATCACATTGTGTCCGTCGTCCGTCCGTCCGTCTGTCCGTCCGTCTGTCCGTCTGTCCGTAAATTTTTCACATTTTCGACTTCTTCTCAAGAACCACTGGGCCAATTTTGACCAAACTTGGTACGAAGCATCCTTGGGTGAAGGGGAATTTAAATTGTTGAAATGAAGGGACATATCCCCTCGCAAGGGGAGATAATCAAGAAAAGACAAAAATAGGGTGGGGTCATTAAAAAATCTTCTTCTCAAGAACCACTGTGCCAGAAAAGCTGAAACTTATATGGAAGCATCCTGGGGTAGTGTAGATTCTAAATTGTTCAAATCATGACCCCCGGGGATTGGGCGGGGCCACAATGGGGAATCAAAGTTTTACATAGAAATTTATAGGAAAAATCTTTGAAAATCTTCTTCTCCAGAACCACTGTGCCAGAAAAGCTGAAACTTACGTGGAAACATCCTGGGGTAGTGTAGATTCTAAATTGTTCAAATCATGACCCCCGGGGATTGGGCGGGGCCACAATGGGGAATCAAAGTTTTACATAGAAATATGTAGGAAACCTTTTTCAAACTCTTCTTCTCAAGAACCACTGTGCCTGAAAAGCTGAAACTTATATGGAAGCATCCTGGGGTAGGGTAGATTTTAAATTATACAAATCATGACCCCGGGGGGATAGGCGGGGCCACAATGGGGAATCAAAGTTTTACATAGAAATATGTAGGAAACATCTTTCAAAATCTTATTCTCAAGAACCACTGTGCCTGAAAAGCTGAAACTTATATGGAAGCATCCTGGGGTAGTGTAGATTCTAAATTGTTCAAATCATGACCCCTGGGGATTGGGCGGGGCCACATTGGGGAATCAAAGATTTACATAGAAATATATAGGAAAAATCTTTGAAAATCTTCTTCTCCAGAACCACTGTGCCAGAAAAGCTGAAACTTATGTGGAAGCATCCTGGGGTAGGGTAGATTTTAAATTATACAAATCATGACCCCCGGGGGTTGGGCGGGGCCACAATGGGGAATCAAAGTTTTACATAGAAATATGTAGGAAACATCTTTCAAAATCTTCTTCTCAAGAACCACTGTGCCAGAAAAGCTGAAACTTATATGGAAGCATCCTGGGGTAGTGTAGATTTTAGATTGTTCAAATCATGACCCCTGGGGATTGGGCGGGGACACATTGGGGAATTTAAGTTTTACATAGAAATATATATGAAGAAGCTTTGAATATCTTCTTAATAACAACTGGGCCAGAAAAGCTGAAACTTATATAATTATGATCAGTGGGGTAGGGTGGGGTCACAATACAAGGGGTAAATCTAGTAAAGTACAGAATTGTCAAAGCTTCTCAGGTGAGCGATGTGGCCCATGGGCCTCTTGTTAAGAAAATCAAAATCAAGATATTTTCATTCTTAAAATTTAGGGAAAAGGAAAGGCAGAATTATTGGATTATGAACAGGAGACACAAGAGCACCCAATTTGAGGGTGGGGCATGACACCCCTCTGTTTTCTCCCTAGCCTGAACACTGACGTGTGTTGTCAAGTCATTCTTAACAACATTGTAACATAAAAAACTTAACATAATCAATGTCTAATGAGAGTTTTGCTAAAATACTCCTCTACTACATTTCAAAACAGTTTCTGATATCTTGCCCACTCATTAATTAAAATCACTATACCACTTGATTTTTTTGTTTGCTAATAATTGTTTATATATCATAATATAGTTTAGCAGTATTTGAATGTGTCCTGCTTTTCCAAGTTTGGTAATAGTGAAACCCCTGTCGGTTTCCTTGACCTTAACTAACTCTTTTGACCAGATTTTTACTGATAAAGTCTCCTGGCAGATCATCTTAGTGTGCATCAAATATAAATGTGTAACACTTGTCAAGTAGGGCTAGCAATAGCAAAATTCTAATGCAATTGTTTGCTTTTTTAATGCATTTTGATTGGCTAATTCACGGATGTTTGAGGCAGTAAAAAAGCATTAATGAGAGTGAAAGCTATTGATTGTGATGTCATAAAAACACAACACTTCATGGCAAATTTCTGTTAGCAAAACTTAACAAAATGTTATGTAAACAACAAACAAAATGCATAAGTTGCATTAGAATATGAATCTTTTCATTTGCAATGTGCTACCATTAATGCTGATTTAACAGTCACATCTGTTTTACAGGCTATGCTTATAAATGCATTTTTTGCAAGTGTAACACAAAATTGTATTGCTATTCACTTCTCCATGTCATTCTGCAACATCATCTTTTTGGGGCTGTTTTTTTTTTAGGACTACCTGTTTTCTGTTGATTTTGAAGAAGCAACATATTACCTCACAGTAGGGAATATTACCAGTAAATGAAGAAATGATATATGAATGTTTCTTTGAATTCACTTTCATTTTAGCAATATTTTAATCTTGTTTATGGAATAAGATGAGTAATATTATTTACCTGGTATTTTATTGTTAAGGAAATAACAAATTTGATAGATTTCATCGTCGCATTTTTTAATTTTTTACAGTTTTAAATTTAAATTAATTTTTGAATATATCATCATTCACGAAATATTTCAATTATTTTATTCAAGTTATCTGGGTTTATTTTTAAATTATGTCTACCAAATTTTCTTTTACATTCAATTTATGCTAAATGAAAAGTCTACATATTTTTTGTTTTTGTTTTTGAATGACTCTTATAAAATAAAATAAATTAAAATGTTCCTCTATGACAATGCACTATAATGGGTTTTACTGTACCAGTATATAACAAGTTGGACACGATTAAATACATGTACCATATAAAAAGCCATACATGTCATAAATTACTGTTTCTAAAGCCATGTATTTTAAAACAAATTTTCATTAACGTGCAGTTGTAAAACACTAGATTCCTTTGTCATATCTATAAAAAGATTTAAGATGAAATTTCTTGCATTTTTTTTTTATTTTGGTAGGTTCGGGAGTCCCAAAATATATTAAGTATTATTTATGATTGGTCATTATAAATAAAAATTTTCCTTTGCTTTTATTTCCTTTCTAACTAATTTGATAAATCTCTATTACAAATTTTAAGTTTATATATAAATACATGTACTGTAGAATCACATATTTTCACGGGGTCAAATTTTTTAGCTTTGAGGAAAAAATATTGGTTTGTGGGAGGTTGACTATGTGGTTAGAGAATGCTAAGTAGTAATGCATATGAAATTTTAAATATCAAGGTGGTCATAAATTTGTGGGTCTTTCCATGCTTTAAAAACAATGAAAATTAACTCCCCGTGAAAATTTGTGATTTTACAGTACCAAAAGTATGTAGCCTTGCTTTTTCTTCAAAAAGCTTATAGATCTAAAATGCCATTTTATGATATCAGCATTTATTATTTATCCAACTGTGTATCAATCAATTTTATAGTTGAATTATGCAATCATGTGATGTTGTGATCTGACTTTCTGGATCATCACACTCTGTTTTTCTGAATCCATATCACCACTTTCTGAAACTGATGACGTAGTACACAATATATTTTTTCTTGTGTATAAAAAAGTTCCTTAAAAAAAATGCTTTGTTTAATGAGTAAAAGGTATATAATTCCTCACAAAATTTGTCTTTAATTATATTTGCTTATTTTAAAGGGGTATATTATAAATTTTTCATTATAAAAGTAACTAGATAAGAAAAGCCTTATCATGTCTCGTTGACAAGCAGGGATCATCTGATCACACCTCATTTGATCTCATTTTCTGCACCTGTCAACTTGATGTGATACTGTTCTTTGGATCAAGTTACTGATGTACTCTTTTATAATTATATGTATTTTCAATAAGATAAGAATGATCAATACACAGGGCTCACAATGGGTGTGACTGATCAACAAGGGATGCTTACTCCTCTTAGCCTCCTAATCCCACCTCTGTTTTTTTTTTTGTTTGTTTGTTTGTTGTTTTTTTTTTTGAGATCAGTCACTGTTTATTACCTTTACCTTTTTTTCATTATGAAGTCTGTTGTTTAATGATTTTTTTTATAATAACAGATAGAACATCCAGTATACAGACGTTTGATTCTCTGGACTTTGCCCGCTATTCAGATGATGGAGGTGGACAGGTGGATGAAAGAGTAGCAGGTGTGAAATATACACATTTATGTAACAACTAGAGTTGACACTTAGAAAGATTCTGATACATAAAATTTGAAATTATTTAGCTTTTCATAAATTTTCCGGCTCAATTTTCATTATATATGTTGGATTTCAATTTTTGATTTAAAAAAAAACACTTATGTGTTCTATCTATTCAGACAATAGCAAGTAATTATTATGTTCCTATTTAAGGCAACAGTTCTATTTCCTTATGCTGCCGAACAGGAAGTACATGTAGTATTACAGTTCATTTTTCTGAACAGTAATCCTCCTTTTGTCCTTGTGTAATACATCTTCGCTAGCCAAGGGTTTTCGGTCCAGTCCACTCCCCACTTTATGGGGAGCAGAGTGGACTGAAAACTCTTGGCTAGTGAATGTGTAAGTTACACAAAGGTGTCTCTTTATTCTTTATCCACAATGCTGCACACTTCAGACAATTTACTGTTTTTGCTTCTTTTAAGTCACTTATTAAATAGTGTGTACCTTTAAAAGTAGGTATCAGGCCTCATTGTTCAGCAGTAAAAATATTGCCCCCCAGAAAGGTGTATATTGAGGGATTAATTAGAAATGCTGTCTTACATGTATTTACATCACTCTGTTTCATGTCTTCTTTTTTCTGTTCAGTTCTGGAATTTGAACTTAGAAAAGCACAAGATTCCATCAAATCTCTTCGAGCAAGCTTAACAAAAGAAGCAGGTAAAATCAAGTAGTTTTTGCAGACAATTTATTTATTAAAAGTATGAAAAATACAGTATATGCATGAAATATTAAAGAAAAAAATTGCAATAAAATTTTCTAATGATTAATGGTTGTAGCCAGTTAAATAATTTACTATATACATTTAGTAGTCCACCTTCTAATATGTATTAATCAAACTCCACAGAGAATGAGCTTGGGTCTACAGAGCAGGTCAATGAGGGGGTGGTCACACTGGGACAGGAGGAGGCCATTAAACCACTAGAGAAGAGGGCCATTAATTTCCTAATCAACGAGTTCCTCCTACAGCAGAACTACAAACTCACGGCTGTCACCTTCTCAGAGGAGAACGAAGAGCAGGTAACTCTTTAGCTACCTCTCACAACTCTAAGATCCTAGATGTGTTATGCACAGCAGAACTTTTTAAAGTTTTAATGTGCAAAAATGAAAACTGGGATTTTTAAAAAATATATATACAATGTACTGTACATTTATTTATATGTATTATCTCAAATATCTCTCAAAGCTACAAAATGAGATTAATGTATTGTCACTGTTAACTTTTTATGTCACAAAATCAATCCTGTTGTAAACCATCCCTTTTAATTTTGTGCTACATGTATGTTAGGATTTTGAGGACTTTTAATTTTGTGCTGTGTTAGGATTTTGAGGACTTTTATTTTTGTGCTGTGTTAGGATTTTGAGGACTGGGATGATGTGGGATTAAACATGGCTCGGCCACCGAGTCTGTTACACCTGTACAAGGATTATGGGAGCCATGTTGTCCCACAAACTGAAACCAAGGACTCCTCCTGCCAGGTAGATCTGGACCTGGAGGAAAATCAGAGGAGGGAGGAGGAATGGAACGATCTGAAATCTCAGCTGGTAGGTACAGAGGAATGGAGCGATCTGAAATCTCAGCTGGTAGGTACAGAGGAATGGAATGATCTGAAATCTCAGCTGGTAGGTACAGAGCAATGGAACGATCTGAAATCTCAGCTGGTAGGTACAGAGCAATGGAATGATCTGAAATCTCAGCTGGTAGGTACAGAGGAATGGAACAATCTGAAATCTCAGCTGGTAGGTACAGAGCAATGGAATGATCTGAAATCTCAGCTGGTAGGTACAGAGCAATGGAACGATCTGAAATCTCAGCTGGTAGGTACAGAGGAATGGAACGATCTGAAATCTCAGCTGGTAGGTACAGAAGAAATTGGGTGGTTAAAGGGGCAGAGGTATTTTGGGAGGTTGGAATATGATTTGAATGAACCAGTTTAAACCATGTACTTATATTTGTTCCCTTTTTCGATTAATATTAATAAGTTTATCTTGCATTATCTTGACAGGAATCAAACATTGCTGATTTTGAAAATCAGATTTCAATCTTGAGAACAGAAAACCAGAACTTGATGTCACAGATTACTCAATTCCATAAGTAAGTTAGATCCTCAGTTTACAATTGCAGTCTATTTCATCTTTTAATTTCTTTTGTTAGTTAATTTTTTTTTGGATAAAAAGAATTCATACGTAATAATTAAAAAAAAAAATTATGAGTTTCTTGGTGAGTAAATCCGGTTGGTATATTTCATGACAAGCACTAGAGTGAATAGAAAATATGCCTGTGTGCAAGTCTGTGATTTACTCACCAATAACAATACTTATTTGCTGACTGAAAAACATTCCATGTAATAAAATCTGAAACACATTAAAAACTTTCTAGCCAAAGATCTGAAAACCAGGTGATATACAGTTCTGCTCCTCTGAAATCTTCAAAGTTATCCAACCAGGAAGTAGATTACACAGTGGGTGAGGAGACCCCTGGTGTGGGTGAGAACAGTAATGAAGAATGTGATAATAAAACAGTGAACAGTGAGTTAGTGATGGACACGAATTGTGAAAGTGAGGCAAAAACTGTGAAAGAAGGGAACCAGTCAAATGATAAAGACATGAGTGTGGAGTCACATGATTTTGTTGTCATAGATTCAGACCACAGCATAGGTGACAAAAGTCCCACCATGAAGGAAAATTCCAGTCGAGAAAATCCAGACCCTGAATCAGGGAGGTAAGTATACAACAACAAAGTACTTGATCTAAACATTGTTCATAAACAACAGAAGTATGTTGATAATACAATGTAAAATCAAGGGCAATGTTAGAGAAAATTTCTAATGAATATTTCTGATTTTACAGACATTTATCACCGACCTTTAGGAAAGCTTTATTAGATGTTTGTTTCCATGTTTCTAAAGACAACCGTATTGTACATGAGGTAAGTGAGTTCAGTATATTGTGTTGTCAGAGGAGGTGCTTTAAATTTATGTTTCAATAAATAATTTCTTATTTTTCTCTTAAGTTAGATATTTTACATCTGGAATTGCATTTTGAACCTTTTTTTCAGATTGATGACTTGTTAACTTATGTTTATGATTTTTTGACAGGTATCCCGAATCATTGGTGCTGACAGAGACCACATTGTAACAATGCTGGCTCGCTGTCTTCCTCATATAGTCCCCAACGTACTCCTGGCTAAAAGAGAGGTCACAATTATTCTATAAATAAAAAAACTGTAAAACTGAAGTGCAATAAATATTTTACTCTTTTTTTTTGGTTACAAAATTTAATTTGATTCTTAAAATTTGAACGTAAGGAAATTGAAAGTAAATCTAGAAAGTCAAAACTGCTATTTATTTTACAGTCAGATCTGTGTAACGTAGTCAAATTATGTACATGACTGTTATTCAATTCTTTGACATGTTTCTTACAGGAGTTAATCCCCTTGATATTGTGCACTGCCATGCTCCATTCCGACTCTAAAGAGAGAGACAAACTCCTCAACATTCTCTTTAACCTGATCAAAAAACCTGACGAAGAACAAAGGTTTGGTGATTGTGATTAAAACTATTTTCTTAAAGCTTTGTCAACATTAACTCAGTAATGAAAATGTCTAGAAATTCTGGAAAAAAATTAAGCCTAAACAAAAACTTGTCTTAAAAACATGATTGTAGATTTTTTGCCATGACCAGTTCTTTAGTTTGATCTTTTTTGTTTGATAGACAGATGATCATGACGGGTTGTGTGGCCTTTGCCCAGCACACAGGAAGTGCTCGTCTGATTGAGGAACTCCTCCCTCAGTGTTGGGAACAGGTAGGTTATCTAATGTTTTCTGGAATTTGAACAAAAATGTAAAAGCATGGGAAAAATTAGAGTGACATCATATCTCAATTTAATTTTTTAGCAATAATATTAATTTTATAGGTATACATGTACAAATTATTTTATTAATTCAGTTTTTCCATTTTGATATGTCCCAGAACTCTCATTATAGTAATTTTTCTCTATATGCATGTAGATAAACCACAAGTATCCAGAGAGAAGAATCCTAGTGGCTGAAGCATGTGGTGCACTGGCATCCTACTTACCAGTAAGTATAGTTATACTTTGTTTATTCCCATTCCACCAACAGTTGAGAAAGCTTTGATTACATACTAGAACATAGTTCCATGAGTTCTTTGTACCAGGCAGTTATTTTCCATTGCCTGATATTTTAGGTCATGTAAATCCTTTATGTTGAGCTCACTCATCTTTTATTTTTCAGACTGAGATTTTGAGCTTCCTCACCATTTTTTTTCAAACTGAGGTTTTGAGCTCACACATATTTTTTTTTTCAGATTGAGATTTTGAGCTCACTCATCTTTTTTCATACTGAGTTTTTGAGCTTTATACTCGTTCTTTAATTTTTTCAGACTAAGATTTTGAGCCCACTCATCCATCACTTTTTTTAGACTGAGATTTTGAGCTCACTTGTCTTTTATTTTTTCAGACTGAGATTTTGAGCTCACTCATCCTTTACTTTTTTCAGACTGAGATTTTGAGCACACTCATTTTTTGTCAGACTGAGATTTTGAGCTCACTTGTCTTTTATTTTTTCAGACTGAGATTTTGAGCTCACTCATCCTGTCGATGCTCCAGCAGATGATGGCAGAGGACAAGGAGGCAGAAGTGAGAGAGGCCGTGGTCCGAAGTCTGGGAATTCTGTTTGGATTTATCTGTGATACTGACAAATACACACAGGTAAAGGTCTCACCTACTGATAAATACACACAGTAAATACAGATTCCATTAATAGTGCAAATAAATTGTCTGGTTTTCTCAAACTTTGAAGAGACACACTTTCAGTGTTTCTCTTGAAAATTTAAAGAAAAATTAATGGACAAGAATTTGAGAAAACTGGTAGTTAGCCATGGGCATCTCTTTATACCAACATGGACTTTTGTGTTTTGGTGTAATAAACATGCAGTTGAAAAAGTTGCCTGTCCCATGAAATTGTGTCATATAAGATAAGAAAATGCAAAAGATATTTACCAAACATGAACAATATGAAGTATTTAAATTGTTTATATGTGACATACTGAAGATGCTTTTATCTCACAAAATGTATAAGTACATTTAAATACATTAACCCACACAAAGTATATTAGTTATCCAGGTTCAATCAAGGATGTACAGGGATTTACCCCGGGTTGTATTCCATACACCCGAAGGCGAAGGGTGTATGGAATACAACCCGGGGGAAAACCCCATTCACCCTTGATTGGACCTGCATAACAAATTTATTTCCTATGTGCCCATAAAAATTCTTTGTAAACACCAGAGTCTAATCAACTGTGTTTCAATCTATCAATAAGATTAATTATGCACTACTATGCATTGTGATGTCATGATATTTGGTTTTTAGCTCACCTCAACGAAGTTGGGGGGAGCTTATGTGATACCCTCGGCGTCGGCGGCGTCGTCGGTGTCGGCGTCGGCGGCGGCGTCCCGGGTTAAGGTTAAATTTTTTGGAGCAGTTTTCTTTTTAAGTACTTCTATGTCCTATATTGATTAGACATGCATGGAAGATGTTGCTAGTGTGTTTCATTGTACCAGTCAAAGTTTCAGATGCTGCAATTTCAGCAAAGAAATGACCAGGTTAATGTTTTTGGTGCAGGTTAACATTTTTGGTGCAGTTTTTGGTGTAGGTCTCATTTCCGAGTAACTATAAGCCCTATGTTGACCAAACTTACATGGATGATACATCTTAGGATGCATACTACCAGCCTTGCTTCGGATGCTGAATCTGACCTACATTTTCCGGTTGAGTGAACAGGTTAAAGTTTTTGGTGAAGGTTTCGTTTCGAAGATACTTTGAGCCCTATAATGACCAAACTTGCATGGATGGTACATCTTAGGATGTATTCTACTAGACTTGCTTCGGATGCTGAATCTGACCTACATTTTCCGGTTGAGTGAACAGGTTAAAGTTTTTGGTGCAGGTTTCATTTCCAAGTTACTATGAGACATATAATGACCAAACTTACATGGATGATACATCTTAGGATGCATACTACCAGCCTTGCTTCGGATGCTGAATCTGACCTACATTTTCCGGTTGAGTGAACAGGTTAAAGTTTTTGGTGAAGGTTTCGTTTCGAAGATACTTTGAGCCCTATAATGACCAAACTTGCATGGATGGTACATTTTAGGATGTATTCTACTTTGCTTCGGATGCTGAATCTGACCTACATTTTCCGGTTGAGTGAACAGGTTAGAGTTTTTGGTGCAGGTTTCATTTCCAAGTTACTATGAGACATATAATGACCAAACTTGCATGGATGGTACATCTTAGGATGCATATTACAAGACCTGCTTTGGATGCTGAATCTGACCTACATTTTCCGGTTGAGTGAACAGGTTAAAATTTTTGGTGCAGGTTTCATTTCCAAGGTACAGTACTATGAACCCTATAACGACTAAATTGCATGGATGGTACATCTTAGGATGCACACTACCAGACTTGCTTCGGATGCTGAATCTGACCTACATTTTCTGGATGAGTAAACAGGTTAAAGTTTATGGTGCAGGATTCATTTCCAAGTAACTTTGAGCCCTATAATGACCAAACTTGCATGGATGGTTTATCTAAGGGTGCATTCTTTATAGGCTGGCTTTTGATGCTGAATCTGACCTACATTTTCTGGATTAGTGGAAAGGTTAATTTTTTTATACAGGTTTCATTTGCAAGTAACTTTAAGCCCTATGTTGACCAAACTTGCATGGATGATACATCTTAGGATGCACACTAATGGACTTGCTTCAGATGCTGAATTCGACATACATTTTCCAGATAATAGACCTTTAAAAGTTATGGGTGCAAGTCTATCACCAAGAAACTATAAGGCTTATATAAACCAGTTGCACAAATGATGCATCAAGGGATGAAAACTCTCAATCTTGCTTCAGATGCTGGATTTTAATTACATTTTCATGATGAAGAACTAGTTTTTAGTTTTTATATAGGTCTATTCCAAAGTATCAAATTTGCATAAATTTTGCATTTTTGGATGTACACTTTTTGTTGGTTAATTGTGTGACATAATTTGCCTTACTTAAAGACAACACACGTTGAGGTGAGCTCTGTAATCTCTGATTACCTATGTTTTATCTTAGAGAGAGTATGCATTGTGACGTCAGGTTTTATTTACCCCCGGCTCAAGTCGGGTGCACGGAAATTTACACCTGACTCTGTAAGCAATCAAAGCTTGTGTCACAAGCTACATAGGAAATAATGTAATTTATATGATTGCCCGGTGTTGAAGGATTGTGAATTACTGTGGGATTTATATGACTGCCTGGTGTTGTATGGTCGTGAATCACTGTGGGATTTATATGATTAGCCTGGTGTTGTAGGGTTGTGAATTACTGTGGGATTTATATGATTGCCTGGTGTTGTAGGGTTGTGAATTACTGTGGGCGTCCCTGAAGGATTCCTCTGAGCGTGTGGTGACGGCCTCCCTCCACGTCTTTCTCCCCTCCCTGGCTGCCTGGGCGGACGAACTGGACAAGCTCCAACACAGTCTCATACACAGTGTGGTCAAAGATCTGGAAGAACTAGTTAAGGCAATTCCCTGATGGGAACCAGTATACTCCCTCTTTTTCTTTGCTAGTCACACTTCTGTTGTAACAGCATAATGTACCAAAATTAGAGAGGGATTTTTTTATGAAAAATTTGTGAAAATGGATTTAAATATGTTTTAGACAGAGATTGTTAGGTTTTTTTATGAATTGGGTTTCTGAATTAAAGCAGGGAGTTATGTCTGTTTTTATTCCCTTTTGTGTGTATGTATGTTTGGGGAGGGAGGGGGAGGGGGCATATTCATGTTTGCACTACCAGGTAAATATGCTTGGATGTCTTTGGTAAACTACATTATGCTGGTTATAACTGATCTGCTTATTTTTTTTACTTTTAATTGATTAATGTAGTAAAGCTTTTATAAAATGATTTAATGCTTTTTTGATTTTTTTAATTAATTTTAATTTCCTGTATTTTGATTAATTCACGGGTATTAAGTGTTAGTTTTTTTTTTTACAAGTAACTTCACAATTTAAGCATGTACATTGGAATAATGTATCTTATAATCACTATGATCATTTTGTAACACTGTATCTTAAGTTAAAAAAATTAATGTGGGGTGAATTTAATTGTGTTTTGGTCTGCTGATTTCCATTAGAACTATGATGAGCACAGTTACCTTTTCTTGGTATTGTATAAATCAAAAATATTCTGTAAACTACTATATACTGTATGATGTACTGTTGAACTTTTATTTTTTTTTAAAAAATCATTTTTAAAAATTCTCTTATTTTATAAAGAAACATAAGAATTTTTAATGTATTACATATACATGTACGGTATATTGAATTTCATTATGAATGCTATGGAGCTCATATATACATGTATTTTTCATGTCCTGTCAGTAATATATTCTTTTTACGTAGTCACATATTTTAAAATGTAATTGAAAA